TTGAACTGTCTGGAAGGATGTTGAGGGGTTTACCAGATAGCTGGGGGTAGGCGTGGAAAAATGGGGTATGAAAAAGATAGAATACTCACTAATTTTGGCTCAGAGAGCTGATAATTCTAGTTTTATTTTTAAGGCGAGCCCTAGCTTCCAAGAGTCTTGGAAAATTATGCTGAAACAGCTAAGAACTCTACTGCTTCAAGTAACACTTAAAGGAAATGTGACTGTCATAGCAGTAGGTTACACAGCTGTGACCCAGGACACCCACAGGGAGAAAGAGCAGGGAAAAGATATCATCCTCACAAGTATCACTTCTCTAATTGTAACTACTTAGAACATTTTGGGTTCTCTTTTGAACAGGCAGCCACATTTTCATGCTCAGGCTGTTCCTCAAGGCGATTGTTAGACTCCTCCATCTCCGCAACCAAAAATCAAGTGGCCATTTTAACATAATTACACGGTCCCAGCCGTGTGCCCTCCCGACTGCTTTACTGAGTATCATTCCCTTAGGACTGGCCGAACTCCCCTCCTAAATTGGAGCTTTGCAAATGTGACTGTATCAAATGATGTGTGTGTTTATATCTCCGAACCACATTCAAAAGCTTGCCTATGATTTATCTTTGAAATTCAATTTTGTCATGTCAGTCTCCAATTTACTGTGTGGGCCCACATTCCTTGTGTGGTGCCCGTGCCCCTTTCCTGCAGAGACTGCAATGAGGTTGCCTTCCACGGTGATGAATCATAGCAGTTGTAGAGGGAGATCACTCTGTTTTATTCATTTTCCTTTTCTAAAGCCCAACTGCATTCACCACAACAAAGTTGTGAAAATGAAGATGCAGCTTTGGCAATTTGACTAATTCCTCTGGGCTGTGAGGGGTGGCTCACCGCATTCCTTTCTGACTATAAAAAACACAGCTTCCAAAGCACCATAGCTCATCCTAAGTATGTTCCTTTAATGCAATGGTATTCAACTGATGTGCCTCAGGAATTTTTCAAATGTACAGCCCCTGACTATTTAGTCAGGGGCACTGACTTCTTTTCCCTTAGATTGTCAAACTAAAAAATGACAACAGCCAACACAGCAATAACCATCCAGTGTGAATGCACTGTCTTGAACCATAAACACATAGGTCAAATAATAGAGTTGCATCTTATTGGCACATCATATAATAAGGTTGCATCCGATTGGTTAATTCTTGGTACCAGAAATCTTTATATACAAGTATAGGCACCTGATTTATTTTTTTCACTTTGGAGCAAAACGTAGGCGGTTGCTGTTATTATTATTATTATTACACTTATAAATCAATTAAAATTATACCTTTTGTCAGATCAGCAAAAAATATATTTTCTGGTGTGCCACAGAATTTTAGTAATTAGTTTTTGTGTGCCATGAGATTAAAAAGGTTGAAAATTGGTGCTTTAGAAGGAAGAAAGTTTTTTCAGCTTTGTGATTTAGCTGACCCTGGCTCAATAAGGTTTATTTTTTTCAATGCAAATAGCTGCCAGTTGTGGCTTTCACCCAAAATGCTTTGTTCATTATTTTTATGTTCCAGATCCTTACGGACTAGCCTGATCACTCTGTTCATTCCAACCCCTCTTCATGCCTGATTCCTAAACTCACTCACCCCATCGTTCATTCATTCATTCACTCATTCAAAGTATTTTGAAATGCCTGTCTTCTCCAACTAGAAAGACACGTTAAAATCTAAAAGGCACAGTTATGGTTCCCTACTGATTTTTAAACAGCTTTACTGATGTATAATTTACATAAACTCCCATTCGCCTGTTTAAAATATACAATGCTATGGTTTTCTGAATACTCAGGGAACTATGTGACTGTCACCATAATCTATAATTTTATTTTCATCATTCCTTCCCCTACCTCATCTGATTTCCTACCAGTTTTCACTTTTGCATTAGATACTTTCACCTCATTTCTGTGCCAATAAAAACGATGCACACCTAGAGATTGAAAGCCTGCAGAGGTTGCCCTGCCTTTTTTCCAGGAACAGACCCTGCTTGCCTTCCTCACAGCTCCAGGTTCACTATTGTGTATGTTGTTCCAGACTTTCCAGGAAGCCTGCTGCTTTCTCTGTTGGCTGATAAATATGTGAAAGGCACATCTTGGTGAAGGTATACAGATGGAAGGGGAGTCATGCTGCTCTCCCAGTTACACATGTGCTTTGCGAAAACACATGACTTTCCTAAAAAATTACTGTAAGAATGATGGGGAGAGGAAGCTGACCTGTTCCCTCTGCACAGTCACACCACACTGGGCTGTGGTGACCTGACCTAGGGTGAGTGGGACCTGAAATGCCACAAGTGCCCTCAGGGGAACAGAGGGCAAAGGGCTCCTGGTCTTCTATGACTGGAAGAGCAGCAGGCTAACAGCAGAGTGGAAGCCGACAGCCCTTCACCCCTTCATAGCCTTAATTTAACGAGTATATTTCTCTCCCATTGTGACCTCTTCCAGAGGAAGCCCCCTGAAAAGGTGAAAGCGTCCCGCCTCCTTTTGAGAAAGAGCCTCTGTGACATATGACCTCGTAAAATAGAATGGCCAGGAAATGAAGGCACCTACTGGTGTGACCACACCAACCCACAGTCAATATGAAGCAGAGAGCTGTGTTCCCCTTTATTCTTCCTTTATCAGCCCAATCGCCAGGGCCCTCACACAGCACCTCCATCTCCTGTTGCTCACCCCCGCACATACACCGAGCCCAGGCGCCTGGTCCATATGCTGAAGCAGCTCAATGTATTTCTCTTTTCTGTGTGGTTGAGCAGAAAAATTAATGTCAATAAAGTCATAGTGAAAGTCAGCAAGGATGGTGGAATTATGTAGAACCTTCTTTTAGAATCAGGGGACTATTTGTCATCACCCTAAGAGATTCAGATACAGTAAAGGAGGGATGGAGCGGGACACAGAATCTGTTTTCAGTTTCCGGAAGGTTCTCATGGGCAGCCAGAGAAGAGAAGTTACTGATTCTCTCGCTTAAAATTCCTGATAACCGTCTTCTGTCAATAATCTCAAACGATAGCTCATCTTTGTTTCTGAGGGTGCTGAGCATGTCACCATTCACACAGAGGACCTCAAGAAATGGTTTCAAATGAATACTAACGGCATATACACTCTGCCCACCGTCCCATACTCTCCCTACACACAAAACGATACCCTCCCAAGCAAACACATCCTATTCTGAAGCAAAACTGCAGATTAGAATATAAATAATCTATCTCTTCTACAACAATTTCCATTATCTGAGCATTAATGAGGTTGCTGGTCTTTGTTTTAGGCCAGGAGCTTGGTGGGCACCAAGGCTTCAGAATGAAAAGGCAGGCCCTTCTCCTGAAGGAACTCTGTCAACTTGTTTAGTAAGAAAATGCAGACCTATGAGCAAAGGATTGCTATATAGGGCAAAGGACAGTGATGGTGGAGAATACCAGTTCTGCTGGGACAAGCCAGATGGGCACCTAACCCCGGTGGAGAGGTCACCTCTAATACCTGAGCTAACACTTGACCTAAACTTGAAAGATCCTTGGGTGAAGCAGTGGAGTGGGGCCCATTCCAGAAAGAATTCATAGAAAGGCAGGTCATCTGTGTGATGGGAACACAGATTTTCCTTCTGTGGGAATGTAGATGGATGCGAATGGAGGGGTGGGGGGCAGCTGGTTAGGAGCTCTGCTACTCCAGTGGGATTGTATTTTGAAGCCCATTTAACCCCCTATGGCCTCTTCTCGGCTCTCAGCTTTCTCTAAAACCCACCATGTACTGCCACCCACAACTTCCATGTACAGTAAAAGCTGGAGGTCATGAAGTCCTCAGCAAACCTCTATAAAATACCTTTTTCTTATTTGATGTACCTGGCCAGCCTTGAGAGGGAGATTTTCATGTGATTTTCTCTCTGTGATTTCCTGTCATTCAGTGTATGTCATGAAAACAGCCCAGTCCATAGCCTCTTATCTTAAGACACACTAGAGAATCAAAAAATGGAATGTAAGTTTGACCTCATAATTGCCGTTTGACAACAATAATAATAATAAAACCTGCAAAAGACAAATTGGTGTAAAAGCTGGGTGGCCTTGAAGGTTTTGTCTTCTCATTCCCTATTTTTGTCTTTATACACAAAATGAATTGGGTGATTCATTTATGAGAAAGACCATTCAAAGAAAAGACAGATATTTCCCGTGTGGGACTTATTTTGTGTGAAGATTTAAACACGTATAATAAAATGATAAAATTATAGCATGAAATCTTAGGTATATGAGTTACTAAATTTGCAGTAATTTTATGTACAATAGTTATTGCAAAAATACAACCTTCTTTGTCAAGTATAACAAAAACATTGTAAGCATAAGAAAAGTTAAATAAGAAAGTGCTGTTTCATAGCCTGAATCTAATCAGCATCAACAATATATTAATTGTTCGAAAACTCTAAAATCTTTAATGAGGTTCCTACTGCAGAATTTTAGTCGTATACAAGTAAATCATTGAAATTCCTCATTATCAGAAAAACAATGGTTCTTTCGTGAGTTTTTACATCACCAAAGTGTTTATAATACCTGAGGTAAACAGAACCCGAACAAATTTTTCAGATTTTCTTTGTAAATTTTCTTTGTTTTAAGAATAATTCTGAAGCCCTTGCTGGGTAGCTCAGCTGGTTAGAGAGTCATCCCCATATTGCCATGTGTATGGGTTCAATCCCTGGTCAGGACACACAAAAAAGCAACCAATGAATGCATAAATAAGTGAAACAACAAATCGATGTTTCTCTCCCCCATCAGTAAATAAAAAGAATAATTCAAAAAATAATTCTGAAGATCCATAAATTGCTTATCCTAAAAAAAAGAAGAAGAAGAATTCCAAGACCATCTGGTTGTCACTAGGGACTGGACAGTTACTGTTCCCATTGTTTTTGCTTTCCCTTTAACTGGACTTGTTTCCCACTCTCAGTAAACTACTTGCCCCAGATATTTAAAAGTCAAATATTCTCATTTCTACACAGGTCTGATTACAACAACTTCAAGGAAATTGGATCGAGAACAACAGGCAGAACATTTTCTGGAGGTAAGCACGTAGAGGGAACTGGCATTCAATTAAATTGACTTTCACTAAACCTCTTTAACTTTCGATATAAACTACAACTTTAATATATTTGAACATTGGCTTACACAATAAAGATGTTTCTCTTGGGTTGACTGGTTCTGAATTTTGAGATTTCTGGTATATTCCTCAGAATATACTTCTGTGTACTCAGCAAAGGTGGCACAGCAGCCTTGGCTTTTGCTGAATACAAGCAGATGCATGGGCATCTCTGCCTTTACTTCAAGTCCTGTTGTCAATAATAGGAAAAGAAAGTTCAGGAGCAGAGCCCCCAGAGCCACTGTGGCCTCAGATGTAGAATGAGAAAGAGCAAAAGTACTGCAGCTAAAGTGAAGTGCATCATTTGTGAAGTGCTTTGCTTTGTCTTTGTTCCTCTTTTTCTTTTTTTTTTTTTTTTTTTTTTTTATCCCAGGGAGAGAGTTGAGGAAGAGAAGGCTGCTAGTTGATTCACTGTCCAAGATGACTGTTTCTGAAACTATAACATGCACTCCTATAATTCATTAAGACAGAAGCAGTGGCAGTATAAACTAGAAGAGAATTATTTCTGGAAGAGGGGAAAAGCACTGTAAGGCCAGGGATGAAAAAATAGATATTAAAGAGCTTTGTGGAACATTCTTTCTCTACTTATCAAGTAGTGTCTTTATTGGGAAGTTGAAGTCTGAATAGTATGTATGACATTGTGTTTTAAGTGTGATACGGAACAGATGATAATGCTTAGAAGTTAGGGCTTTGTTAAGGTTTTACAATGTGTCTGTGCTTCTAAAATGACCTGTTAGGCCCTAAGAAAGACTTACTGGAATTCATAGGTCCCCCTGGCATACACACGTGCATACCTCAAAAGATATCTATTAAGATCAAATCTTCCATTTTTATATCAAAGTATTTTTAAAACTCTTAAAGCATTACACATAATAAAGGGTTATTATTATTATTATTACCTTGCAGCATTACAATAACCCTTTAAAACACTGGTATCATCTGATAAAGATGAAAGACTCCAGGCTGCCAAAAAATAATTATTATAATTTTTTTTCAAAATTATACTATTAGGCTGCTGTATGTACCTGGTCCAGAATTAGAGTACGTTTGCCAGAATAATGACACTTTATATTATATTTCTGTGCTCCTTTCCTTTGCAGCGAAGAGTCCAAGTCTCCTGGAGAGGCTGTGTTCCTAGATGGTTGAACCCGTTACCTCCCAGCAGGGAAAAGGGAGGGTGTCTCATTAGCTGGGGAATCTGTCCAAGATCATTTACTGGCTTGTTCCTGGAAAGGCAGTGTCCTCAGGGTGTGTGTGGTGCAGAGCGTGACTGTAGAGAAAAACACAAGAGTATTTTCTAGGCATGTGGATTTATTTCCCAGAAGAGCCCTTCATGGTTTCACATCCTCTACAGACTTACATTAATACTGACCAAACATTTTGGTTCTTTAGTCTGACACAGATGGATCTGGAACACCATTTCTTAGTCTCTGGTCTACTCTGCCTAACAAAGTAGTATGGCATAGCAGTTAACAACCTACCTAGAGGACTGCTGGGAGGTTCAAATATGAAATACGTGTAAAACATCCAGTCCAATATCTGGTGCTAAGTAGGTGCTGAGTAAAGGGTAGTCATAATCACTGTGGCTTTAATTATTATCTTCTGGTGCCATGATACCCGGACCCTCCTAAAGATTCCACTCACCTCCCTATTCCAAGATGATAGCAGCTCCAGGCCCTGGCACGCAGGAGCCTCAGGGACCACCGGACTCGGCCAAGTCCCGGGGACTGCCCTGCGTGCTGGGGATGCAGGGTGAACATGAAGGATGGGAAGACACATGATAACCAAATAAATGCTGTGACTTCAGATGCAAGCTCTCTAAGGCCACTCAAAGAAGGTTCCGTGGTAGTACCTGAAAGTGGGGCTGGGATGGGCTACATTCAATAGGCTGGTTAGAAGGGCCCCTTTAAGGAGGAAAAACTTGGTGACATGAAGCCAAGATTCTATTCAAGGCCAGGTGGTCACACATGACCACCAAGGCCAGTGTGACTCAGGGTAGAAAGGTGCGGGGGAGGGTAAATATGGTAGTGTGTCAAGTAGGAGAAAGCAAACAGGCCTGCAGTAATGGTCCTGATTTTTTCCGAGAGCAGTGGGAGCCATTAAGCTGGAGTGACATGATGCAAAATCGCCAAGATAAAAGGTCGATGGCTGCTCTGCTGGGCAGAGGCAGGCTGGGCAGGGTTCCAGGAGTGGAGGGACTGTGCGGTCTTTCAGAGGGAACCAGGTGAGAGATGATGGTGATTTGGATGAGTGTTGTTAAAAAATGATTCAAGAAAACTACTTAGGTGATAGAAACAAACTTTAACACTTCATGAAGCGTGCTGTATCCATTCGGAGAACTGCAAAATGGAGCAGGAGGTGGGAAACGTTTTTAGTATAAAGAATAAAGATCGTTGTTGCAATGTGCTACTTACTAAGACTGACACCAAATAAGCTAGGGATCCCATCTGCATCTCCGGCTTTTCCTCATTTTACTTCAATAGGCATCAATGATAAATCAATCTTATGTACAATTTCTTACAGTTAACCCTTTTACCTTTGGCAAGATTAGTTACAACTCTTACAACTTTTTAATATTGAGAACTATTTAAAATATTCTAAATGCATAAAAATAAAGATTTTGGCTTTTTTGATATATATTTATAATATTTATTCTTACTCAAAATGGAAGCTCAACTTTACCCTGCCCCCTAAAATATAGCTCTTCTGGGCAGCTGCTGGTGCGCCCTCCTGGGAATTCTGGCCATACCGCCTGCCTCTCGTCCACAGCCCAAGCACAGGCCGCCCTGTTCTTGACCTCTAAGACAGGCCAGTACTGACAGGAGGCGGGTGCATGGCCTGAAAAACAAAAAGAGGTCGTTTTGCTTCCTGTTGTGTTATATTCCAGTAAATGTGCTTTGAATAATACAGATTCCTGTTCAGATACATCTGCCTCTCTGTTGCCAGAGATTTGTAAGGGGCTGAGGCAGGAGGAATGGGCCGAGGGTTACATTTTCTTGACTTCTTTAGCTTAACTAGGACAGCTCTTTTCTAGGAATGGTTTTCTCCACTTTTTGCAAAATCACCCGCACAGCACTGTGTGCTTGGACATGCTCCTTGGAACCTTTGGGATTAGTGAAAAGTGTACTGATCAGGGACGCAAAGTCTGCTCTGACCTCCACCCCACCCGTTGCCTAAGTACAGAGAAAATACATAAGCCATAGGGACTGCTCACAGTTCAATTTCAAACATCTTCTGTAAGTCACTGGAGAAAGGGTTGGTGGGTGAGGGGTTAGTGCGCTGCTTGGACTTGCTTTCTACATTGCAACAACAATCATGCTATGACCAACACAGTGACTAGGTTGTAGTTTAAATAAAGAAAATGAAAGACTAGTATTGTCCTGGTTTTAAACCTATGATGAAATTCTAATGTCATTATTTTAATGGACGCAATCTAAATGTGCTCTATAGAGAATATGTATTTTCCTTTATATATTGCTGCCGTTTCCTTATGTTAATCCTTTACTTAACACTAAGGCAACAATGCCATCATATCCATAGACTGGAACGCAGGTTACTGTGCTGGCTTGTCATGTGGGCCTGCCTTGGTGGGGTTTGTTTTGTCCTTTAAATTTTGTTCCCCCAAGTTTTGTGGGGATGGAGTTCCTGGTTTGGTCAGGGGTGTGCGTGTGTGTACGTGTGTGCGTCCACCCTCGGCCCCCTCCCCTGTGGCGAGCAGAACGCCCCGTTGCCAGCAGCAGCCACTTGATTTCTGGTAACAACACGAGATCCCATCTCATTTTTACTTTTGAACGTTGGCCTTACAATCAAATGTAAGTTATATATATTTGTACTGATGAGAATTTATAATCTGCTTTAACAAAAATAAATGTTCATGGTAGAAGCTTCGAAAAAAAAAAAAAGAATAAAGATCAAGGAGGAGAAAAACAGAAAATACCTGATTGGCTGGGGCCACTTAGTCAACCTTGTTCGGGGTGAGAAGGCCCAGCGTTGGTCTGGTGTTTGAGATCGGCTGCCTGGATCTACTGCAGTTGAACTCAAGCAGAGCGTCTACGGGGTCAGGGAAGTTACCTAAGTTCTGGCTTGCTGACATGGCTCCCTGGACAGGTGCAGTTCCATGCTGGGCCTAGAAAGTTATTTCAACATGAAGGCAGTGAGTCAAAGGGAATGGTTGTCTACACAAATCCCTCATGATTCTGGCCAAGAAACAGCACGCTGTCTTTTCTGAATTTTCAGAACAGAAATTTTTGAAACTGGAGATCTTTTGAACCATTCCAGCTTGCCTCTGCACACTCCCAGGGACCCCTCCTCGTATGATGCGCTCTTTCATTTAGTAAACCCTCCTACTACGGAAACCAGTTAAGTCTCTCTCTCTTTCTCTCTCTCTCTCCCTGCCCTCCCCCTCCCAACCCATTGTAAATGCTTGGCCACATTGGTTTTTACATATAACATTGCTCTGACAGTTTGAGTGACACTCATTTCTTTTTTTCTAAATGGGTCATGGAAAGAATATTGCTGTAACTCATCTCCTCAAAATAAATAAATAAGTAAAATAATACCTTCCAGGGTGCAGATCACAGCTCTGCACTGTACACAGAATTTTATAACTGCTGATACATGTGTCATTTGTATGTGCTGGGTGTGGGTGATTAACCTCCTGGGGAGCCTTTAATTGCTAAGATGACCCTATGTTACTCTTAAACTCCTATTAACCTCCTGGCTCTATTTTATTTCTCTCCTTCCCAATAAAATAAAATTTCTCTTCTTGAAAGGACCCATTTAGAAGCTGACTCAGCAGGTATACTTATGAACAGGTAACCAGGATGATATTAATGATTTGTTTATAGTTTCTATCCTCATGATAGAAGGCACTTTAATCGTGCACTGCTGGGTTTCTGCCTGTGCATTGATTTAAGCTGGTAAAC